CCCCAAAACCCCAAAACCCCATGTTAAAAAAATAAAAATAGTATTGTATATTGAGAAATTAAAAACCTGAATATTAAATTTATTTTCTAAATCGATTAGTAAAATGATTCAATAAAAAGGGAAGCCACGAAGATTCACACAGTAGCTTTAACCCAAAAAGAGGCAGTCTCCGAGATATACACTCATGCAGCAGTTTGAGAGTTTGAAACAGGATGGATACAACACTGATTTGAAGAACATGAGCGACAGTAAGAGAGATAGAAACAGATATACAAGACCTTAAAGCGGCAAACTCAGAAGGTCTCCCAACCATGCCTCTAAATTATAAAATCAGGATTAATATCACTCAGATGATAATTACTAAGAGGAAGCAGACTTCGAACTATTGTCTAAGGAAATAGACGAAGATGTGCCTATAATCCACTCTTTGAAAACAAAACTTCAAAGTTTATAAATGCCAGTTAAATCACTTTACTAGCATTAATCTAGCCAGGCTCCTGGTGCTAATTCTACTCTCCTGGATCCATTTTTAAGCCCTAAATCTGCCAGTCAAAACATAGACCTCTAAAATCAACAAATAATTATGCAGCAGTATATAAGGAATGTAAACTAGAATACTTTGAAGATGAATGCGCCTCTATCCTAGAAGATAAACCAGAAAATCAAGAGATCTCTGACACCATAGCGATCTGCCAATAATAGTCAGATAAACAACAAAATATAAAAAAATTCAAACCAGAACACTCATCAGAGATCCAGATCTACTTAGCGTGTAGTCAATTCTGAAAGAAATTAGTCGCCTAGGATCAATAGAGGCTCTGCTAAACTAAATTATGTCACAAACCATCACTCAAAAAACATCATTGACAATGCTCAGCAGAGATTGAAAATTAAGGCTAAAAATTAGATACAAAAGTACAGATCGTTTGATTAATTTTTCAAGGATTAACAGAAACATGAAGAGGTGAAAAAGCAAAAGATAGATATATTATAATAGCAAAAATCAAAAGTAGAAGTTGAGGAAGTCAGGTCTACACCAACTATCCACAAAAAACGGACAGAAAAGTCACAAAATAAAACCTTCACCAATGAGTAGCAGTAGTAGCATAACTAGCCAAATGTGGAGTAAGCTGAGGTAAAAGAAACTACAAGAGAAAGAAGAAGCATGTCTCAAGAGAGAACCTCCAAAGTTCATGATAGGCTTTACTAGATCAAGCCATACAGAGCATAAAACTAAGAAATCGAATTAGAATCTGCTAACAACATAACCAATTAGTAAAGCTAAGGAGGGTCTAAGTCAACCAAGTCAATGACTCCACTAAAGGAGTTTGTAATGCATAATTAGAGCAAGAATTCAAAGGAGAACACGAGTTAAACTATATCAACAAACAGACTGAGCTAAATTAATGGGACTAGTTCTAGAAAAGGAGCGCACATTAACAATCTTTTTAAGGAAGATAAATCTTAAAGAAAATTTGTAAGTGGAAATTCCAAGAAATTCCTTGTCTAAAAATTCAAGAAGATGTTCAGAAACTCTCTGTGCAAAATTCTAAAGGATAACAAGTTATCATCAGATTAAATTATATATGAGGAAGAGAGTATTGAGGAGATTTCAGCAAATTCTGACTCAGACTAAGAAGATATCCAATAAGCTGATCAGGGTGGGAAGAGTCCCAAATCATCTTCAACCATTACGGTTTCTAAAGTGCATATCCCAACAGTGGAGGATATCAACTTAAGCTAGGATTAATACTATATTATCCTTAAAGATATGAACCTAAAGGGTTATAATGAGCACTTAGCAGACAAAATGTATCAGATCCTTACATGTAATCAGCAGAAATTACTTAGATCCAGTAACTAGTTTACATTCTTGTTAGCTTGTTAAGGATTATTTACCTTCGAGGAGATAAAAAAACCAGATCTCAATATTGATGAAGAATGTGACTATGGTGCATTTAACCTTTAGGGTAGGTTCATATTCATTAATGAAGGTCAATATAAACTCGTAAGGAAGGAGTTCAAAGGATTCTAATCTAATCTAAACAATTATGAGACTCTAAGAAGGCAGTCTATGGATGAAAGTAAGTATCCATAAATTTTAACAAGTATATAGTAAGAAGAAATAAACTGAATTTGAAGCCAAACTTCCAAGATAGATCCATGAAATTAACTTCTAAAAATTTCAAAAAAGATGCAGTAAAATAATATTTTGATTAAATAATACTTAGAGTAAATCTTAATAGCTTAGTTCAAGTAAGTCAAAAAATTCAGACTTGATTGCAAGAGGCAAGCCTGGTGAGAAACTAAATAAGGATATTAGTGATGCCTTAAGAATTAGAAATAATTCTCCTTCTCCCAGAAGTCAAACCTTGAGAACTGGCAATCTACTTGTCAATGAAAAGAAGTCTGTTCTTGCATCAGATGATGGTGGTAATAGCAAGATTCTTAATGAGGTGCAAAACTAAGCTAGCAAAAGTATATTTTAGATTTGGTTTGGAATTAATGTTTATATAGAACCTTAATGGGTTTCAATTGATATTGACTTGGGAAAGACTAAGGGCATGAAGAAAATACTTATGAAACATGATGAAAATGTCAGTGAAGTAGTCAATAAATTTGCTTTGGAAAATAGTAATACCCCCTTTTTATATAATCAATGCTATAGACCTTGACGAAAATAAAAAGGAGAAGTTAGAGAAAATAATAAACCTGAAGCTCTAAAAAGTATTTGAGGATAAATGAAGATCATTCAAATTATAAGACCACTAAATATGTGATATAAGCTATTATAACTGAGATTGATTTGAATTTAACTTTGATTTGTAATATCAATCGCTGAAGAATAAATTTCTAGATTATAATTGTGTGCTTTGTTAAGTTTAAATTTATACAAGAATTATTCATGCATCACTGATCAATAACTAAATCCTGGGGTTTTGGGGTTTTGGGG